AAAGCCCCCCAAAAAAAATCCACCCATTCCAGCGCCCCAAGTGGCACCTGGACCTGACTGCTTCGGGCAGCTCCCTGGGTCTCTCCCTGTCTGAGCTCGTCCTTCTTTCTGGGCTTCAGACACCCTCCGCCCGGCCAAGCAGGGAAGCCTCTTTTAAAAGCACGAACAAAACAACAAAAAAAGACCCACAGTCGCTGCGAGGCCCGGTGCTACAAAGCGTTGGATGCGGAGCTCAGGTGCGGCAGAGTCTGCTTCTGTTTGAGAAAGTTAAGGGCCAAGGGCCAAGGGGCTCATGTGACAAAGTCAGGGTTCTACCCTATCCTCCGAACTCGGGATGCAAGAGCGTGGTGCGTAGAACCCTAAAGCAATCTTGCCGTCGAGTGCAAGACTCATCGAATGGCCGCCTCGGCCTTGACCACGGAGCGCCAAAACTTCTCGTTCTGCGCTTTGCAGAGGTAGGCGGACGCAAGCACCTAGCTGACGCACCAGAAGCTGGAAACCCGACACTTGTCGTTAGGCATGCAGCGAGAGCTGCGGAAATCCTCGATACAGTAGGCCGGCGGCTGAGACGTGCTTTGGTAGGTCTTTGGGATGGTCTGTCTTGGGGGGGAGCATTCGTCGTTTGGGGCTGATCTCCTTGGCTGGATGGCGCCGCACTTCACTCAAACTTGGGGGTGCTACGAAGGCTCAAGGCTGCCGAATTCTGCCAGATTGATGGGGATCCGGTCCGCCCTAAGAGCCCTGGAGCCAAGCCCTGGCAGGAGTCCAAGAGTTCTTGATCGGCCCGTCCTCGAGGAGGGACGCGGGGGTCACTGCAGCTTCTTGGACCTGGGAGCCCTTGGAACGGGAAACTCCCGCGAAGATCGGTAGCTCCGAAAGGCCTCACGGTCTGAACCTCGGAACAGATATGCAAAGTAGGTGGCCGCGAACGAACGCAGGGTCGTAGCTTCGGCCCAAGAGCTCTTTCGTTTCAAAAGCACAGATTCCGACGCGTCCCCCACTGCCCACGCAGAAGGACCGTGGAGAGCTGCGAGGCCTTGTGCTTCGAGGACGAGGAGGCAGAACTGGCTGGGGGAGTCCTCGCATCGTTTCGGGGCTGCGGCTCAGTGCTTCCTTCAGGGCTAAAGGACGCTTGGCAGGTGGGCCTGGTGGCTTTCGGAAGAGACGACCTCTTCTTAGAGCATTGTGGACGTGTTGTGGAGCTGCAAGTAGTAAATTAGTTGCGAAAAGTGGTGTTGGTGGAGAGCGCAAGCACATGCATAGCTGGAAGCCGAGGGGGCGTGGGCAAGCCGAGCTCTGTCTGTTTGATTGATTTGCTTGGCTGCACGCTTGCTGATTGGCTCTGCATGAAGCCATCTTGACTAGACAGCGCAAGCACATCCATGTGAAGGTGCTAGCAAAAGGGGTGGGGATCCCAAAAAAAATGGCGCCTCGGGTTGGGCACAGCAAGATCGACCTGCTGGAGGGCGAGGTACCTTGGCTCTTGAAGCCTGGGCTCATCGCGGGACCACGAGCATCTGCCACATGTTTTTTTGTTTGTCTTTACCCTGAAAGGTGGCAGCGTTGGTCTTCGAGCACCTGCCCCTTCGCACCGTCCAGGCGTTGAAGTGTGCGTGGCGAGGTGTGGCCATGCTGCTTCCGAAGTGCCTGAAAGACGGGGCTTCTCTGTGGGACTGGGCGTGTGCTGCCCGCCAGCCGTTTCAGCTCTTCCGAGCGATGGACGGGGAGCTTTGCAATTGCCTGCAGACGGTCCGGGCGGACCCGCGATATTCTTTTCACGTTCAGTACTGGTCTGTGCCCCATTTCCTCGGGAACACAGAGAACGACCGTGGACTGCTATGGTTTGTGGGCAGTTTGCGTGGCTGGAGGCCTAGGCAGAAGGAATGGAACCAGGCCACCATCGCGGCCGACACTGCTCCAGTTTTCAGCATCCACTTCTTTCCTCGGCGAGACGACTCCAGCGTCCACCCGAGCTGCACAAAGCCATCTCGGACGCCAGAAACCGAGGACGGATCACAGGAAGTTGCTTTCTACGACAGCGGCATGAACGACCTCGTGGCCGTGCGTGCTCGCGACCCGAGCCTGCTATTGAAGCGTTGTGGCGCTGCATCTATGGCCACAAGCCCGGTGATGACCCTTGGCTATGCAGTCTGGGCAGCTTTTGGCTTTTGGCAGACGAAGCCTCCTATACCCTTGGAGCACCCAGGACTTGGCTCCTGCTCGTCCACTGGAAGTTGCTCCTCGGGCAGCCTGCCCTTGGGCTGCACAGGGGGCTGGGGGAACGGACATGAAACTTAGGGGGGCCGCGCAGAGGACAGCACATAGGTGTGGGCAAAAGCATGTCTCAGATGGCAAGAGGAGTCTTTCCATGGGCATGGGCCCAGCTAGTCAGGGGACGGAACGCCAAGTAACGCTTAAGGCTTACTGCGTGGCGGGCACCTTCCTGGCCTCTGGCGAGTTCTGTTTGACGAGCGCTGCGTTTGGTGGCAGCGACGACGAACTCCCTGTTCTGGAGCCCCGGGCCGCGTTTGGATTCTTTGGCTTGGGTTTGGGATTGCAAGGCTACCATCACAAGATTTGTCAGGGAGAGGTTCTTCCAATTCAGGCTCGTGCCTCAGAGAGGAGGCGTACGTCCCGGCAAGTCGCTCAGAGACGGAACCGCTGGCCTCAGGGAGCCCCTTGTGTGTCAAGATTAAGTCCTCTCGATAAGTGTTTCTGTCTGCGCAGAGAATTCGGCGTGGCTCTTTTTCCACCCTTCCTTTCCCTCTTTTCCCCCTCGTCCCCTCGCGCTGCTCGCGCTTCGTGAGGAGGTGGTGGTTGTCAGCTGCGGCACCTGGGCGCCCATGGCCTCACTTTTGGAGGATTAAGGGACAATTACCGATATAACCCTTATATACCCCTTCTATAGGTCTCATAAGCTCCTTTTTATGTCCCCAAGGGTCCCTTTTTTTAGGGTCTCTCCTTTAGTCCCTTTTGGAGGAGCTCTGGGCGGAAGCCGCCTGGCCCTCCCCAGAGGCGCGCAGAAAGCGGTAGAGGAGGGAGTGCCCTCGGCTTTGGGGTCTTGAAGCATTTTTCGGGGGTTGGGAGAGAAGGCCCTGCTTTGGGTTCAGGGACTTTGGGTTTATTAGTCTTTATATGGGGGTCTTGAGTCAAGAGTCAGGAGAGGCACGAAGAAGCGGCAGGAAACAATGGCAGAGGCAAGGCAGAAGAACCCCATAGCTCACGAACAGACCTTCCGGCAGGAGGGCCTTCCGGACTGCCTGAACTTGGCTCCTGTGGCTCAGCAGAAGCTCCGGGGGGTGGTGGTGGTGCTGGGGGGCGGTGGGCGAGCTGTGCTTTGTTTTGGGGGTCTTCGGTTTAGACTAGCAAGCTTGAGGAGCCGTGTTGCTGTCCGAGGTATTAGGATACTTGGATCAGCGTTGTGGGCTTGCTTCTGAGGCTTTCCCTACAGACCCCTTCTCTCCTTTGAGGAAGATGTCGACAACGACGCGCGGAGCCCATCCGAAATGCATCAGATCTGTGCCGTGGAGCGGTTCCAGAAGGCCTGCCGTGGGACCGTGGAAGTGTTGCAGAAGTGCAGGTAGGTAATCGAAGTTCTGACCCTCGCAGCGTGCTCTTTGCCGAGTTTCCAAACCCTTCACTGCCCTACGCCTTCGATCCCTCCACCGTCCCGTCACGGCCTCCAAAACTGTTTCTTCATACCTAAAGCCCAAGGTTTCCACCTCCACCCTAAGCAGCAGAAAGTTGCCACGAAGGCCCTCTACCTCCGAGCTCTGGCGGCGCTGCCCTGCGAGGCCAGCCCTGCAGCAACCGTCCTCATCTGCAATTATTCAGGTTTAGGGGATCTGGGGCATAGCCGGAGAGATTCTGGTTTTCGGGCACTTGGCGTGTCGTGTGCTGCTGCTGCTGCTGCTGCTGCTGCTGCTGCTGCTGCTGCTCCTGCTGCTTTTTGCTGCAGCAATCATGGCTCGCGTCGTTGTCTTTGGCATCCTCCTTGTCGCTGTAACCTTAGCTTTCCCAACGAATCTGCGAGTCTTTCAGGATCCGGGTCCCGAGCTCTTCTTCGGCACGAAATCTGGTTCAGCCCAGGGTCGCAGCTGGAAGGTGCCGTGGCTTCTTACGGCTAGGGAGAAGCAGAAGAGCATGGTGAGGAGCATCTGGAGGGATGTTTTCTCATGGATTGGAGTGTAATTTTGCGCCAGCATCAGAGTTTCTGGTTTGAGGGCCTTGACTTAACAAAGGCAGTCGGCGGCCTTTCTGCAGACTCCAGTCTCATCAGACCCTCCTACCTGCAACCGGACCCTCGTCATGTCCGAGCATCAATCAAGAAGTGGTTGCAGCTCGCACTGGCCGGCCTAGACACCTCGGATCCCAGGTCCTAGATGCATCAAGCGCCATGTTTAGGAAGTTTAGGGTTGAGGGCCATTCTCCAACAGTCGGCCACGCGAGTCTCTGATGCACCCAAGCGCCCGTCAGAGAGGCCAAAAAATAATATAGGAGCCTTAATAATTAGAATAGGGTTTGGGGGTATTTTATACTATAATCATAATAAGGAACCCCCGAAACCCTATTCTAATTATTAAGGCCCCTACATTACCAAGTCCAGGCCTCTACAAAATCCCGGTGACCTCGGTTCAACTGGCCACCGCGGGCATTCATAGAACAGGGGTCGAGGGCAGCCTTGGCCACAAACATCCTCGCAGTTCCCTAAGTCACCCAAACCCTACCTAAACCCTGAACCCTAAACCCGCAACCCTAAACCCTCAACCCTGAACCCTAAACCCTCAACCCTAAACCCTAAACCCTAAACCCTAAACCCTGAACCCTGAACCCTGAACCCTAAAACCGTAAGCTGAAGTCTGAGCCCATCTGAGCCCCCGAGGTAAGGCGCCAGGCCGCTCCCGGCACCGAGCTGGAGGAGCTTTGGAGGGTCCTCGGGTGACTCAAATGAGTCTTTTGGGGAAAAACATGAGGGTTTTGGGGAAGGTTTGGGGTTTAGGGTTTAGGGGGTTTGGGGGGTTTAGGGGGTTTATGGGGGTTTAGGGGGTTTAGGGGGGTTTCGGGTTTGGGGGGGGAATCTTGGGGGGATCTGCTTCGCTGCTTCCCAGGAGATCCCAACCGTCGACTTGCGCCAGGTGCTGGAGGCTGGGCCGCGGTTCACCGCCCGGGCTGAGTGGCTTAGCCGGCTTCGGCACTTCTCTTCGGCATCCTCCAAAGCCCTAAACCCGAAACCCTAAAGCCACAAGCCCTAAACCCCAAACCCTACAGCAACCCCTAAACTGTACTCACATTTGTTTTGGGGGGGAGAGCTTCTTGGACAGGAGCAGGCCCTAGAGGACGCCCGGCAGGCTTTCAAGGACCCAACTTCGAAGCGCCCGGACTTTTAGGCTGCCCTCCTGTTGTTTTCGTGGGGAGGAGTTGCAGCTTTGAGGTTGGCGAGGGGGCTTTCAGCCAGAAAGGGGGGGGGAGTTTCAGCAGAGCAGCAGGGCAAGGGTTCTCATGAAGCGGCCACAGAGCTCTTGAGCAAAGGCGTTGAAACGACCGAATTTGGACTTAACTCCCGCAGAGCCGGCCCATCCCTCACAAGGAAGCCTTCAGACCTGTAGTCCTCACAGCCTTGAAGCGAGCTGAAGCTCGTCGCCGAAGGAGGCCGCGACCCCGGAAGGCTACGCAAGGCTCCTGAGGCATCGCCTTTAGAAGCCTGGATGTTGGGTGGAGCTTGGAGTGTGAAATCTTCAAATCGTTTTGTGCTTCACGGGCTTGTTCGGTGTGAGCTTAAGGGGAAGCGTATTGTGAACCCTCCAGGCTGTCCTTCGCGAATGCACGGAAGCTTGCCGGCCTCCTCGATGCCGTGGACTAGGCCTGCAGGTGTTCTTTTATTTGGAGACTTCAGGATTGAATTCTGAAGTGAGCTCTTTGGACATGACGAGTGTGTTTCTCAGAACCAGTAGTCAGGAGTCAGGAGCCTTCCTTAGAAGATGGGAGCTGATGGCACCAGTCATCGCCGCGTTTTGGGTGATCCTGAAGAGCCTCTCCTGCCCGAGGCACTTCCCGGGAGGACAGCATGCAGCCGTCAGGGGTCGGCTCGGGGCTTTTTCAGGGAACAGATAGCAGACACCCCGAGCCAGACATCGAAAGGAGCTGAAGCTCAGATGTTGAACCCGTCCAAGTTCAGAGTTTTCAGGAGGGTGTCAGGGTCGAAGAATTTCAGCCTCAGGGTCTTTTCTGGCGCGCATTCGCCGTGCCCAACCCGAAGGCTCGAGCCACACATGAAACCCTATATGTGTCAGGCTAATGTCGGGAGTTTTTCCGTTGAGTACAAACTTGTGGACGGAGGATGATGAGTGTGGAGTGGTCTTCCTCCAGACATTGTCCAGGCGCTTCACTTCAGAAACGATCCTCGAGCGCGTGGTGAGCACTGTGATCAGCGTGAACGCCCCCCATCATGCGGAGAGCTTGTCGCAAACATTCGTGCCAATCAGCAGCCACATCATTCTGGCAATGGTTGCCGTTTGCTGTGTGTTTACAGTGCACGAATTTCGAGTGCAGGGCGGGTCGACACCCTTGCTGGCAACACATGATGGCCGCAATACCGTGCTTTTGCAGGTGTCCTTCTTGATCACTTGGGTGGTTGGTTACTTGACAGTAACGATGTTTATCCCGGTGTCTTTGGATTTCGCTCTGGCCATGGGAGAGTCCGCCACGGGCAGCGGCGTCTTCATCGGGGCTGCGCCCGTGGGGCTGCTGGTGGGCTCTGCCTTAGGGAAGAAGCTGACCACGGAGAGCAGTTGGAATCAGCGCCGCGCGCGCAAGGTCTTCCTCTTCCTCTACGGGGCCTCGGTGCTCCTTATGCCCGTCATCGCCTTCTTCATCCAGACTGCAGCCGCCAGGAGTCTTGAGGCGAAAAGGTGGACATTTTGGTGCACGGTTTTCCTGTTGTTCTTGACCATGGTACTGGCGTCCCTGCCCACGATGAGCTGGTTCTTGATGTGGAATACGGTGACGCCACAAAAAGAGAAAACGTTTTGGATGATGCTGACCCAGTGTGCCCGCAACGGTGGTATCCTTCTGGGGCCAATCTACTTCGCCTTCATTAGCTATTTGGTTCACAAGGGTCAGATGAGCCGAGATGTGTCGCCCATCAGCGAGATGAGCTGGCTCTTCATGGGCGCGTTCTTCCTTCAGGCATTGGAGCTGACGATCGCGTCTCTCGTCTTCCCCACAGAGCTCCAGGAAGGAAGCGACGAGCCATGCGAGGGCGAGCTCGCCGAGGTCGCCGCGTGGCTTGGACCGGAGGAGCTGCCGGCCGCCTCGCGGGAGGAGCTGGTGTGGAACATGATCGTCTACTGCTATGAGCGTACCTTCACGGTCAGCGCCATCGAAGTTGCGACGACCATGCTCCTGGAAGTAAAATATGGATGGACACCTGAATTGAGTGGGAGCTCCTTCATCGCTATAGCCCTGGGCAGCTTTATCATGACAGCAATGGCCAGCGTGGTTGCATCCAGACGGCTGGTGTCGGAAGCTGATATGTTCTTCGCGGTGACGTTGCTTGCATTTTGCGGCTGCACCATGTTCTTTGACCTGGGAGGGAACCTTGGAGCCAAAGCCTTGATGCTGGCTGATACGATTGTCTATGGGGGGGCCAGTGTCGCGAACGGCATTGCCGAAGGCTGGGCAAGTCGTGCCGCGTGCAAGGGCACGGACTACAGCATTGAAACTTATCGAGCTCATCAGCTTCTTGGCTTGACTTGGGTCTACTTGAATGGGTCACTTGCGTCCAGCGGCGCTACTCTTATAGACATCACTTGTCCCCACACATCACTTTCCAAACCCGAAATCGTGACATGTTGGTGTCAAAAGAACCGGACTAAATGCGCCTCACCAACATGGACAGCAGAGGGGTGAGGGGAGGGAGACCGTTGACACCTTGCGGGCCTTGTCGACGGAGTCATGCAAAACTTGCTTTCACAATGCTGTCAAGTTCACATACGCTGACAAGCCGCTGATAGAGCTGAACTCGTCATTTCTGCGAGTGAGCAACGAGCAACTAAGGTTCATCGGTGCGAGCTTGTGTCGCTTCGTGGCTCCGGTCGTCACGCGTTTCATCCTTGACATTGGAGGTCGCAATACCTACGCAGCCGTGCAATTTCTTGTGTGCGGCCTGTCGTCAATGATAGTCCTGCGGACGGTTTTGCTGTTCAATAAGCAGAAATCTCTGGCCGACGGGGAGGGCATCAAGACCTGACTCCCTCAAAAGCCCTCTTGAATTTTTACTTCTTGCATGATGAGTGTTCAATGAGCCTCTTCGGCACTTGCAGCCTGACATCGTCAAAGACGCGCAGGACTGCACACCTGGCGGCATCTGCGAAGATCGAAAACAGTTCCCACACTCTGGGCACCGTCTGAAATCTTGAGCTGGGCTTGAATTCGCTTCGACAGCATGTGTAGTAGTTGTGGTTGCTGAAGGTTCAACGGCCTCAGCAGACGACAAAGAGATGCTAAACTCGTCCTGCCATTCAGGAGCTTGATGATGTGGCGATGGCGGACTTCGCAAGGTGCAAACGTAGACCTGTCATTCGCTGTTGTCGTGTTCTGGTCGCCATGGGCAATCTGAACAGAGCTGTGTTTCCTTGAGATGGTGATGGTGGCGTTTCTTTTCCCAGCATCTGCCCTCCCCGTTCACCGCCCCGGGCCCCAGTCTCAATTGAGGTCGGATCACGGCCGCTGCTCTTCCGGCTAACTGGACCTCTGGAGTCTTGAGGGCCTGTCTTCTGCATGGCCGCCGGAAGACACGCATTATAGGAAGGAGGATGCAGGTGCCGCCGAGGGAAAGACGAGCACGTCGGCGCAGACGGCGAAGAGCGCTGCCATCCGAAGCAGCAAGCTCGTCGCAGATGGAAGGCGGGCATTCCCAGTCGGGATCTGTTTTTACATGTGTCGTGTCAGCCAATCAACCCAGAAAGCAAATGTGCGCATTTAAAGAAACCATCCGCGCGTTCTGTCTCGCCCGGGGCCCAGGGGGCTCCTCCCCTCCCTGCACCGCGGGAACCTCCATGACTAGTCTAGTCAATAGCAGTATGTGATCAGTACCCAGTTCTGTTCGTATCGAAGCTAGATGCGCAGCTAGGTGCCATGGACAATGGAAAGCATTCGCTTTATGAGGAGTTCTTCTGTGTTTCGCCTGCAAGCAGGCGAAACACCTGCAAGGTTTCAATACTTTCCACTGGCGATGTGCCCCATGAGAATGCATGATCGTGGACGAGCTGGCAACACAGGGTGGCTAAATTCTTCGCACCTGTAGAGATGTAGCGAAACAGCTGATTGTTGCAAGGATACAGAGTGACCGAGTGGACTACAAAACCACTTGTTCGGACTTGCCTGTGCGACAAGAGGGGCTTGAGCACAACATTGACATTGGAAGTTTTGAATGAATATGACCTGACGGATGTGAAAATATTTTTAAACATTCGGCCACGAAGATGCTGAAACAGCAGGAGCTGAGCAAAGTGTCCACAGCCATATGCAGCGCAAACGCCTTCCACATAGTCTCACTTGCTGGCCCTGAACCAGGCATTTCGTGCGGTTCAAGTTCAAGCTCATGAGAGCCAGCCCGAGATCATTGACGAAGGACGTTCGTGGCACTTGATGTCAAAAAAGTGGGGCAAGCTTGGAGTCTGGGCCAAATCATCAACAGAATCAACAGTAACATGTTTAAGGATTGCAGCAAGGGGTGGTATTTTGATGTTTTTCCAGCTTCGTGCGTTGGGGACAAGATCGGATAGCCGGAAGCACAGCGTTTTTTCGGCAGATCGCGGGATGAACGCTTGCTACTCGCAGGTGTTGGGAGCTTTGGTGCGATACCAGCTCAAGCACTCCTCCACGCTGTCGCAGGCCTTCAAAAGCTGTCTTGTTTCTTGCTTGTGTTTGGCTCCGGGAAGCGTTCAGGCGTGGGTTGATGAGGGGTCCATGCTTTTGTCGATTTAATCCCTCTGTACCATGTACTCTCTTGCAGCCGGGTACATTGGTGTGCCTGCTGCACGTGCCCCAGAAAGGTGCTGCAGGGCCGCCCATGGCGCGAGATCCTACCCCGATGCCTCTGCGACTGTCTCGGTGTTTCGAGTTTTGGAACTTTGGTCTAGATTTTCATGATTTCATGAGATACCCTTGATGGAGCCGCAACCAAGGCCAGGTCACCGTGGCCTTTATGGTAGGGCTCGCCTCGCTCTCAGCCCATGCTCCCCTTTCTCATGTTCAGTCTGCCCGTGGTCGGTCCTCAGTGTGGCAGCATGCCGAGCAAGACGTTGTCTCAAGCTGTAGGAATTTCGTCCTCCCGAGAGGCTGTGTTCTGCCTGCTCGCTGCCGTGGCTTTCGCGCCGACCCGGACACCCGAGGGACGTCGAGCGGAGATCCTTCGGCCCCGGGTGAGGATCAAGTTGAGTTTCTGGTCGTTTTTACGAGCACCCAAAACAAGGCAAAGTAAAAGCATTGAAAAGGCTGGAGGTTGCGACTCCTTTGCCCTGGTTGTAGCTCGACGAAAATGGATGCTGTATCCCACCAGTGACAGCTACCTCTCTTGTGGATTGGCTGCGGGCTGACAGAGGCAGCCATGGAGTCAACGATCAGCCGGGGCGGCATATCGCCCAAACCAGTGGGAAGTCCAGCAACAAGGGCCCAATTCAAGGCCCATTTCGCCGCTGCACACACGCGTGTTGTCGCGGACGGTGCTTGGTGTGGCAGTGGAGCGGCGATCCCCTAAATGCCAACACCCCAGACCGCAAATGACAAATCTCAAGCCCTAGACCCTAGGCCGTCAACTTCTCCACTGCACCCCTAGCCGGAAGGCACTCGAAAGCTTCTCCCAAGCAAGTCAGCGTTCTGGTCTCTTCGGTTTACTTCGCAGGAGCTTGGCCTTGGGCCCTGCCGGGGCAGTCGCTGCGCCCCCAGCACCCGTGGCCGCGGCAGCGGCGGCCGTGACTCTGCCTGGGGCCCGAAGGGCACTGGAATCCAAAGACTCTCTGAGGAAAAAAGTACGAGAATTCTTGACAGCAGCTGTCACAGTAGGTTGTCAGCACTCATGGCATGGGGCCGCTGGTGACCTTTCGGTCCCAACATCCCGGATGTTCATGACTCGTGGATGCGTCGTCACAGGCTTTTGCGCCTGTCATCGGTCTGGAGTGGTTGCAACTAGCAGGACAGAGCAGCCTCGTATGGCGGCCTTGGTTCCTGCGAGTTGGGTTTTGCAAGCTCCCTGAAGCTTGAAAGCCTTGAACAAGTCGTCTGGTGTTAAGAATGTGCTGGCTAAACAGTAATTTGCTGACTTTGCGTGCCTGATGCCAGAGGTGGCTAAATCACAAACACAGCTCTCCCCGGCTGTGATAAGGCGCAGGCAGGAGCATCAAGCCCATGTTCCCGAGGCGGCCCCTGTGGCAGTTCCCCATGCTCAGTTTGCAGGAACTGCGCCAGGCACAGTGGGACAGTGGGGTCTTAGTCTTGGGTTTCAGCCTTCTCTAAAGAGGTCCCGGCTGACAGCCCTGGGCAGAGACAGTACTTGTGAGAAAAAACCACTGACCCCGTCGCAGAGCAAAGAAGAGTCTTCGTCGCTGACAGCAAGACATTCGGCTGCTGGCTCCTGCACCCCCGCGCAATGCACAGGTAGAAAACGTGGTCTTCGAGGAGAACCAGCTGAGGCCCGGCGGGCAATTTAACGTCGGGATGGATCTCGAAGAGTGCTGCTTAACTGGTTGCAGCACACGCCCACACATAAACCTACCTCAACAACATTGGTCTTTACCCGACACGCGTCGGCTTCTCCAAAGGCTGCTCAGGTTTACATCCCACACCCTCAACAGCTTCAAGCAGTCACCGCCTGTTGGGAGGCCAGGGCCAAAACCCCTCGAGACCTCGGATCCCCCTCGCCTGTCTCAAGGCATTCCCTCCGCGTGGCGGTGACTTCAAAGATGTTTGTGCCGGCCCTGAAGCTTCCAAGGTAATGCTGTGTGACACTTTGAGCCTTTGCTACTTCTCATCCTTATTGTCATCGTCATGGTCATCACAACATCACTATCATCATCGTCGTCATCATCATCATCATCGTCATGACCATCACCCATCACTCACCACCCACCACCACCAGCACCGCCGCCGCCTCTGCCACCGCCACCGCCACCGCCACCGCCAGCACCAGCACCAGCACCAGCACCAGCACCAGCACCAGCACCAGCACCAGCACCAGCACCAGCACCAGCACCAGCACCAGCATCACCACATCATCGTCCTCGCCCCCAGATGGCACTGTTTCCTCGTGCCCTGGTCGCTACTTGTCGTTTTCGGCACCGTTGCCGTCGCTTTCGGTAGACCGCCGCACTCTCCTCGCGAAACTCCTCGCAGTCGCCGTCGTCGTCGTCGTCGTCGTCGTCGTCGTCGTCGTCTTCGCCGGTGTTGTCGTCATCAGCAAAATCATCAACGTCAGTATCAGCATCAAGCAGCAGTTCCACAACTACACCAGCTGCCTCAACATCGCAGTGTCTAGTGACTAGTGAGTCTAGTGTACCATGCAGATCAGTGTCCTCATCCGATTTCCCCCTCCTCGTGCTCCTCTGCCGTCGCCGCAGTGGAACATCCAGAGTCTTGTCTAAGTCTAACTCCCTCCCCGAGGATGGCAGCGTGCTGCTGCAGTCGACGGACTCGTCGCTACGCCAGATCCTGAGCATCCGATGCGCTGGGGAGAGACCAGAGCAGACTCTTTAGGACCTGAGGAAGGCTGGCACAGATCCTGGGGCACATGTGCATAGGTAAAGCTGCAAAAAGAGTATATGTAGTCCATTCACCCAAAGAGCCCCTGTATGCGGGAATTCGATCTCCTTTGAACTCCGTTCATCCTGCTGCTGAGATTTTCAATTTGGTTGTAAGCCACTCCACAATCACATCACATCCTGCTGCTCTGCGTCAAACTCGTCCTGTCGATTCCCCTACCTGCAATCATCGTAGCTTCCCTCGGCCTCAATCTTGTGAGTTGAACCCTCAAAGCACGACAGCCCTTTTTTTAAAGCCACGGCGGAGGTGTGGAGAAGAATGGGCGCGGCGTCTGGCTGCGCGATGGCCAGGAGGCGACCTCGCAGCAGAGGGGTAGGGTTTCGGCATTCGAGAGAGAGGATTTGATCTTGGATTGGGCCCTGGCTGCCACTGGCTTGCTACGGGCGATGTTTGTGTATGCTGCTGCAAAGGCCGCCGCCATTGCCATGTGCACTTTCGCGAGAGCGCCGGAATCACTGATGGGCTTGCTGTGCCTGTGGCCCCTGAGCCCACGGCCACCACTTCTTGGGTTGGGGGTGACGGGTTTCAGTCTCGTAGAGCAGGTGCCTCTCGACGACATGGAAGCACTCCGCCAGCTTCCAGGACGGACGGGGATATTCAAGCGAAGTGATGTGCCGAAGGAGTCCGCAAGTTTTTCCGTCTTTGATGTTCGGAGTTGGTATGCGCTAATTCGCGGCCCTTCGCACTCCAACAAGCTCTTCCCTTCAGATACGAGCTTCCTCTCAGGAATCCCTGGCCTTGGCCGAGCCACTCCTAGCCTTAGCAGGGGACGTGCACCCGCGGCTCTGTCCGTACCCCTTGGTCCAGGTGCCGACGAGGGCCTCGCCTGGATGGGCGCGCAGCTCACCACTGAGGTCGTGGCACCGGCTTAGCGGCCAGTGTAGGCGGTGAGTCAGGGGCTCAGTGAGGCCAGCACTCCCAACGCGGCGGTGTGCAGTTGTCCTTCGGTATCTTCTTTAAGGTCGCTGGGCCGGTAGGTTTAGGACATCTGGGCTCCTAAAAGGAGACCGCAGGGACGCCGGGGCTCAGGCAAGGGTTCGGACCTCCTGGACTAGGGCTAGAGCTCTTCCAAGCAGAGCTGCCGCTGCCTTTATGAGCTTTGTTGGTGCAGTCATTCCCAGAACTCGCCTGACAGCTCCGGACAGTTCAGTCTCACCATGGCCCGCTGAACTCCGGGCATGCGACGCAAAAAGTGGCTGCGCTGCGAAGCCTGTTTATCTACTTGAAGGCTGAAATGATACCCATGCAGCGTACAAGGTATTGTGGAGGAAATCCGACAACAAGATGCTATTTCAAGGTAGCCCGGGTTAATCCCACAAAACGAACACGAACTTATTGCAGCAGCGCGGGTAGAGAGGCAAATGCCAGCAGCGGAACGTGCAGGGGAAGCCGCCGCTGGAAGCAGCTCGACAGTGCTTCCGCCTCACAGTGCATGCAACGCGCCACACGGTTGTCGGACCAAGCAGGCGCCATGATAGCGATGGTAAGGACAACAATGTTGGCTCCCACTGAAGAGCACGTGCGGGGGATCAGGTTCAGTTTAAGTTTGAGCATCGCAGAACAAGGTGTGCGCAGGAGGCGTCTAACCACCACAACATGCAGGGTATTGAACAACGTATACAGCCATGGTCTGCCCAGGTGATCCGTGAGCGCATATCAGACTAGATCCGCTGGTGTTGATGCTTGGTATAGTATATAGGCTTCAGGAGGTGTCGTGTCAGGTTAGCCTAAGCTGAACCTTTACGCAGCTTACACTCGGCTCCCGGAAAGCGGGGCCAGTGGATGTGCTCTGCTGTGCTGGAGACCAAGTAAATTTAGCGTGCAGACTCCGGGGTGCAAGAAAGACCGTGCAGCCCGTGTGTGTGTGTGTGTGTCGAGGATCTTGGCAAGATGGCATCCATTCAGATTTCTGCCAGTAGCGCCCTCAGAAAACCGTGAACTCATTACAAGTTTCTGTGTCCACCAGCAGCTGAGACTTGCAGTCTAGCAGGCACAGGGGCGATCAGGGTCTTCATGGCGCATGGGTCAAACATGCAATCTCATCGTGGCCACGTTTGCAACAAGTGCAGTTGGATGTCCATGTGGTTCAACGAGGGTTGCAATTCAGATATTCTTGTGTATTTGTTTTCCTTTGCATGTGCGAATTTGGCAACGCAAGTTGCAGATGCTTTCAGGCTGGTGGATCTCCTCCTCCGCCTCGTGTCGACGTCCAAGCCGATCTCCAGCCTTACCCTCCAGATTCGTTGAAAATCTGTGGAGCACATTCCTGATGAGAATCTTGCAAAGACGGCATCGGTTCGAGCTCCTGCAAGATGCATGCTCAGAGAGCTCTGAACTCACAGCAAACGGGGCTTTCGGCGCACTCAGGTGACGTGCCGCGAGTCCACAAGCAGCAGCAGTTGCAGTCTTGAAGGCGCCGACACGGGGGAAAATGAGGCCTTTGATGTGCTTAAAAGCATGTGGCCGCAGGCGGCCCAGCTCTCCTTTGGTTGCAGCCCCAGATCGCTGAATTCCCGGATCACCGCAGCAATCATACGGCCGTGCATGCGCAAGCGCGTGTTTACATAGATTCCTTCAATCTCGAGCACAGCTGGACTCCTTCAGACCATGCCCGGTCTATCAGCTATGCAGCTGACCGGTGCCCATTTGATCTGCTACGCGCTGCCGGGCATGTGCATGATGATGACGGATGAACTTTCGTTTCTGGACCTGGCCTTGAAGGTCTTGATGTTGAGTTGAGTGCAGATAGGATGCGAATAGGCCGATTCCCCTCCGTGATGCATTCAAAGGTATCCTAAGCTTCGTGGTGCCAGAGCCAAGGGACTGGAAGATCGAAGGCCGGCTACGCTCGTGAGTTGGTCGAAGTTCTGCTCGTCATGACGTAGCATGTGGATTACGATGGCCGTGTGTATTTTCGGAATGAGGGTGGTAAGTACTCAAGCAACCAAGCCCCTGGAAGGTTGCAGGCGTGGGTGCGGGCAGTGTAGATACGAGTTTGCGTGTGCTTGAGCTCTGCGTGCCAATACTTGCGCATCTCAAGTGGCCGGAATGCCGCCAGGCTCAAATAGGCTGTAGCCCCTGAATTCCGCTTCTAGCAATGCCAAAGCATCGGCAGGGTTGGCGCGGAGGCCGGTTGCCACCTCATGGTGATTCGTTGTGCTTTGTGCTCCATAGAGTGCCTTGTGCCGCTGTGCAGCAGGCTGGAACGGCTGGACGCAGCAACCCTATGGTCGTTGGTCTCGCGATGCTGAAGGCCCGGTGTCCGCAAAAAGTCGAAGGCCGATGTAATTTCGGCTGCCTGAGGCACCGAGAAGGAGGTGAAGCGAGAAGCCGAGGAAGGCCCGGTCCGCATCAGACTGACTGCAAACTTGACGGCAGGTAGTTGGTGCAGAGGCCGCGTCGTTGTCCCGTGCAGCAGGCTGGAGCTATCGCGCGCGAGGTGATGCAGGCTGGCTCGATTGAGAGCTGATTGAATGATGACGCGTGCGAAAACACTTCGACAAGCAATGCCTGACGACAGGCAGCCTTCAAGACGAAGGCCGTGTGCGTAGCTTGACTGGCGGAAGGGTTTCAGGGTGCATCCCAATTTGCGCAGGTTGGAATCATGCTTGGCAAAGCTGGCCTCGGCACACAGGCCCAGTGATTCTTCGCGGCAGGTAGTCTTGCTGGTGCGAAGGCCACGACGCTTCTTGCTGTGCAGGTTGGAAAGGGTGGAGCAACGGCAGCAGACGCGACTCAGGCTGCTTCGGCCGAGAGCATTTGCTAATGCTCACGGAGCAAAAGCTGATGATGTTTGTATGCGTGATTATTGCTTCTTTGTCTTTGACATTTAGGTCTTTGGCTTCTTAGCTTTTGGCTCCTCAGTTTCCGAGCTTTGGCTTCCGCGCTTTTGGCTGCCTTGGAGTTGTGGCTTCGGGCTCCTCGGTCGGTCTTCTCCGCGGCATCTTCTGTTCCACATGTTAGTCACATGCTCATTGGATGTATTCCTGGCTTAAACCACGTTATAAGTGTACCAAGAGCAAGAACATTAATGATACTTTACATTTACGAGTATTCTGAGGCACCACCCCGAAAATCGTTCCCTACCATCAGTCTAGTGTGGCAGCCCAGGATTTGCAACACGTCGAACGTTTCGAAAACAAGCATGACGCACAGTACATTTTCAAACCCAAAGCAAAGCATTCCGGTGAACCATCCCTGAGAACAGGCAGCGTTCAAGAAGAAGGCCGAGCACCTAGACTGAGAGTCACTGAGTGATTTCAGGGCGGGTGCATCTCGATGTTCTTGCGCAGGCTGGTATGAAAGTTGGCGTCAGTCGTCTCAGGACGAAGGCCCCTCATGTCATAAAGGGTCGTTCAGTGATGCAAACCGTGTTTCGGGAGGCTTCAAAACGAAGCCGCCGCAGAAGCATGAGGAAGGCGAGGTGCCCAGTAGGAAAATCCACGGCATGTAGTTGGCGTGTCGGGGCTGCGCCGCTTTTGGTGATTCGTCATGTCGTAGGTGTCGTACCCAACGTAGCTGTGAGCCGTGCATGTTGTGCGAGGTCTGGACCAGCGGCTGCAATGCAAAGCCGCAGGAGCGCAGTGCAGCAGCCGGCATCAATGTAGCGATGCGGCCCTGATGTACGCACTGTGATCGCCATCGTGGCGTGGTTGCAGGCCGGCTCTTCGCACGGGCTTTGCGGTCCGCTGCCAATCCACAGCACCGGCGGATCCAGAGCCCTCCGAGATTGCAACCGTGGCCCCGGCCCCAAGAGAGACAAGGGGTCGACGCGTCCCAAGCCACATTTTCGAGTGGATGTCACTCTCTTTGGGGTGGGCCGCCCAGGCGGCCCAGCCCAAAGGAGAGTGACATCCACTCGATGTGTAGCTTGGGGCGTGTGGACCCCTTCGAGGTGGGGTACGCTTGCCCGAGCATGCCCGATCACCAGCCCGAGGGCAGGGCTCCAAACCAGCCATTGAGCCGCGTCTGGCAATCAGCCAAAGTGCTCGACCATGCCATCGACAAGGTCGTGCACATTGGCTACGAGCAGCCCATCGAGGTGTTCCGGGCAAGGCTCCCGAGCGGCCGCGAGCGGCTGCTGACCACCGAAGGGTGGAAGCTCTGGATCCTGCAGCGCAGCGCCCTGGCCCGCTTCCCGAAGAAGGCGCTCATCGCGCCGAAGATCCTCATGGACGAGGAGGCCATCAACGAGAAGATCGAAGCGGCTGACATCCCGGAGGACGTGGATGCCACGTACCTGAAGTCCGAGGATGGCACGTCTACGCATTTTTCCTGGAGGGACGTGGTGGCAAGCAAGTCCAAGTCGCAGTCCAAGTGAAGGGAACCGACAGCTTTCCACAAAGTGCGCAAAAAAGGGCCCGGAGAATGCTAGCCGCTTCGTGGTGCTCTAGAGCTAAGGGACTGGAAGGTTCCAACATGTTTCCGAAACCCCGAAACCTCCACTGCCAGCTGGATTTTGAGACGACGTCGACCTCAAGAAAACCTGCCTTCGGCTCCGTCAGGTCCTTTGGCCTTCCACCACGTTCTTCGAAGATCGAAGGCCCCGGGTCTATGCTCGTCGTGAGTTGGTTGAAGTTCTTGCCACGCTCGGATTGTCATGACGTAGCACGTGGATGACGATGGTCGTGTGTATTTTCGGACCAACTAAGCCCCTGGAAGGTTGCAGGCGTGGGTGCGGGCAGTGTAGAGACGGGCTTATACATGTGCTTGAGCTCTGCGTGCCAATACTTACGCATCTCAAGTTGCCGGAATGTCGCCAGGCTCAAATAGGCTGTAGCCCCTGAATTCCGCTTCTAGCAATGACAAAGCATCGGCAGGGTTGGCACGGAGGCCGGTTGCCACCTCATGGTGCTTCGGTGTGCTTTGTGCTCCATAGAGTGCCCTGTGCCGCTGTGCAGCAGGCTGGAACGGCTGGACGCAGCAACCCTATGGTCGTTGGTATCGTGATGCTGAAGGCCCGGTGTCCTGCACACAAAAAGTCGCCCGCCGATGTATGCCGATGTACTCTCGGCTGCCTCAGGCACCGAGAAGGAGGTGAAGCGCGAAGCTGAGGAAGGCCCGGTCCGCGTCAGACTGACTTCAAACTTCACGGCAGGTAGTTAGTGCAGAGGCCGCGTCGTTGTCCTGTGCAGCAGGCTGGAGCTATCGCGCGAGAGGTGATGCAGGCTCGCTCGATTGAGAGCTGATTGAACGATGACGCGTGCGACGCAAAACACTTCGACAAGCAATGCCTGACGACAGGCAGCCTGCAAGACGAAGGCCGTGTGTGCGCAGCTTGACCGGCGGAATGGTTTCAGGGTGCATACCAAGTTTTTTCTGCGCAGGTTGGAATCAGTCTTGGCGAAGCTGGCTTCGAGACAAAGGCCCAGTGATTCTTCGCGGCAGGTAGTCCAGTTGGTGCGAAGGCCGTGACGCTGCTTGCTGTGCCGTGCCCAGTGCCGCAGGTTGGAAAGGGTGGAGCAACGGCAGCAGACGCGACTCAGGCTGGCTCGGCTGAGAGCATTTGGGTCCACACGCCCCAAGCTGCACATCTTGGAATGGATGTCGCTCTCCTTTGGGCAGGCCGCCCAAGTCTCTCTCGGGGCCGGGGCCGGGGCGGTTTCAATCTCCGAGGGCTCTGGCTCCGCGCGGCGCTGTGGATTGCCAGCCGAGCGCAAAGCCCGTGCGAAGAGCCGGCCTGCGACCACGCCACAATGGCGATCACAGTGCGTACATACGAACCGCATCGCTACATTCATGCCGGCGGCTGCACTGTGCTCCTGCGGCTTGGCGTTGCAGCCGCTGGTGCAAACCTCGCACAACATGCACGGCTCACAGCTACGCTGGGTACGACACCTACGACACGGCGAGTCACCAAAGGCGGCGCAGCCCCGACACACCAACTACCTGCCGCGGATTTTCCTACTGAGCACCTCGCCTTCCTCATGCTTCTGCGGCGGCTTCGTTTTGAAGCCTCCCGAACCCACGGTTTGCATCGTTGAGCGACCCTTTAGGACATGAGAGGCCTTCGTCCTGAGACGACTGACGCCAACTTTCATTCCAGCCTTCGCAGAAACATCGAGATGCACCCGCCCTGAAATCACTCAGTGACTCTCAGTCTAGGTGCTCGGCCTTCTTCTTGAACGCTGCCTGTTGTCAGGGATGGTTCACCGGAATGCTTTGCTTTGGGTTTGAAAATGTACTGTGCGTCTACATCGCAAAGCAGATGCTTCCTCTTCTCACGTCGAAAACAGTTGGCCTAATGTTTGTTTTCGAAACGTTCGACGTGTTGCAAACCCTGGGCTGCCACACTAAACTGATGGTAGGGTACGATTTTTGGGATGGTGCCTCAGAATGCTTGTAAATGTTGAGTGCTCTTGCTCTTGGTAATATTGTACTGTGGTTTAAGCCAGGAATACATCCAATGAGCATGTGACTAACATGTGGAACAGAAGATGCCGCGGAGAAGAAGGACCGAGGAGCCCAAAGCCAAAACTCCAAAAAGCAGCCAAAAGCACGGAAGCCAAATACCAAAAGGTCAAAGACAAAGAAGCAATAATCACTCATAAAAGCATCATCAGCTTTTGCTCCCTGAGCATTAGCAAATGCTCTCAGCCGAGCCAGCCTGAGTCGCGTCTGCTGCCATTGCTCCACCCGTTCGTGCGATAGCTCCAGCCTGCTGCACAGGACAACGACGTGGCCTCTGCACCAACTACCTGCCGTGAAGTTTGCAGTCAGTCTGATGCGGACCGGGCCTTCCTCGGCTTCGCGCTTTACCTCCTTCTCGGTGCCTCAGGCAGCCGAGATTACATCGGCATACATCGGCAGGCGACTTTTTTGCGGACACCGGGCCTTCAGCATCGCGAGACCAACGACCGTAGCGTTCCAGCCTGCGGCACAGGGCACTTTATGGAGCACAAAACACACCGAAGCACCATGAGGTGGCAGGGCCTCCGCGCCAACTCTGCCAATGATTTGGCATTGCTAGAAGCGGAATTCTTGGGCTACAGCCTATTTGAGCCTGGCGGCATTCCGGCAACTTGAGATGCGCAAGCATTGGCAAGCAGAGCTCAAGCACATGCAAACTCGTATCTACACTGCCCTGGTTGATTGATAACTTACCACCTCATTCCGAAAATACACAAGACCGTCGTAATCCACGGCATCCAACTAACTTGGGTGGCAATGACGTTGATGGCACCCAATTGAAATGCTTGCAGGCAAGGCCCTGTAGCAGTTTGGAAGATGGGGATGCATCTTCTCCTGCAGACAAGTCATGCGTTTGCTTTCGAGGGCCTCCTA